GTGGCCTTAAAGCTAAAACCTAAGGAATTATATTGACCTAATTTAGCTATGAAGCCATTGTTTTCGAATATTCATGTTGTTTTCCTAGGGAATTTATTTTGGTTTTATTATACTTTTCAATGATTTATTTGTTCATTCACATAGGGGTGCTTTTAGAAAGGTCTTGATATACTGTCTTGGGATCTGCTTGAAAAGTCAAGGAGCAGCAGGAACAAGACATCACAATGGTTTCCTCTAGACACATCTCTTATCTCTGGCAGGACCTCAATCTTCATAATATGAACTGGCTTCCTCCTAAAGAGGTGTGTGAATTCATTTTGCTTCAGTCACAGTAGAATGTTTCATTGGGCAAAAATCCAAGTGTAAGCTCTACTCATGATTTTTGGGACTAAAATTTCATATTCTTTGAAAGGCATGAAATTTTAGTTATTGGAGCACACTAATTAAGACAGCATTCTATACACATGACAGTTGCCTATGTCAGTCTGAAATCTTCAGATCATAAGACTCACACTTTCCTTTTGGGGACTTTCCATTTTGAAAAATTTAATATTTATAGAGCAGCTGAATTTCTCTGCTCAAAATACCACTTGCAGAATGACAACACAGTTTAAAGAGGTGTTAACAAGATATATGGTTTGAGCTCTGATTTCAAATTTTTTTCATTTTTTAATTATATATATATTTTACATCATTTCTCATTTTTGCACAATGTATGTATTTTCATCTTGGTTATAATCCCCATACAATTCCCACTCCCCTTGTTTTGATCCTACTCCCTCCCCCCCACCCAGTGTGTCTCTGGTTTATAGCTGCTTGTTGATTTTGATTTTGATTTTATTATAATTAGTCTTTTTCCTGGTCCCTTATTTAGGTTTTCTAAATTCCTGCTTTGAGTGAGACCATCTGGTATTTTTCTTTTTCTTTCTGGCTTATTTTGCTGAGCATGATCCCTTCCAGCTACATACATGTTGCTGCAAATTGCATTTTCTTTTTTGATTGCTGAGTAATATTCCATTGTGTATATGCACCACATCTTCTTGATCCAGTCATCTATTTTTGGGCATTTGGATTGCTTCCAGGTTTTACCTATTGTAAATAGAGCTGCTATAAACATAGGGGTGCAGGTGCCCTTTTGAATTAATGTTTCTGTGTCCTTTGGGTAAATACCTAGGAGTGGAATTGCTGGATTATATGGAAGTTCCATCTTTAGCAGATTGAGGAATGTCCACACAGCTCTCCATAGTGGTTGGACCAGTTTGCACTCCCACCAACAGTGCAGGAGAGTTCTTTTTTCTCCACATCCTCACCAACATTTGTTGTTGCTAGTTTTTTTAATATGTGCCATTCTCACTGGTGTAAGATGGTATCTCATTGTAGTTTTGATTTGCATTTCCCTGATGACTAGTGATGTTGAACATTTTTTCATATGCCTATTGGTCATTTGCATTTCCTCTTTGGAGAAGTTTCTTTTTAGCTCTTCTGCCCATTTTTGGACTGGATTATTTACTTTGTTTTTGTTGAGTCTCATCAACACTTTGTAGATTTTGTGAGCAGTCCTTTATCATTAGTGTTGTGTGCAAAAATTTTCTCCCAATCCATGGGTCTGATTTCAGATTGACCTGAATTTAAATCTTGGCTTTATTACTTACTAGATGTACAACTGTACCACAGTTCCTCATTTACAGAAATGGGATATGACTAGTATCTAAGTCATAGATCCATGGAAATGAATAAATGAAATAAAACATGGAAAGGGCCTAGTAGTGTGCCTAACACAGATCAAAACGAGGACGGGGGGGGGTGCTCCCTGGTGGTGCAAGGGGTTAAGACAAAACCTATGAAACTATCCACAGTGATTGCAGCACAAGTTCAATCCCCGGCCGGCCAGGGAGCAACCCATATGGCTCAGCAGACCTCTCCTGACTCACCCGCTGCTCCCCTCAGCAGTGTGCCTCAGTCAGTCCACCTGGTCTGTTCCCCACTCTGTCTCTGGTGAATCATCTCACCCCGTACACCTCTGGCCTGTACCCCAGTTCTTGTATGCAGAAGTAAGTAAATCTTAAAAAAAAAAAAACCAGAAACAAAAACCGAGGGCGGGAAGAGCACAAGGGACTATGGTGATGGTATAGGGGTGAACTGGTGGTAGAAATTCTATGGGGACTACAACTAAGAAAAGAAAGCAAACACTGTAAGAAAAAAAAGAAATTAATAGCAGTACACTGGGGATGCTTTTGAAGAATAACAATTGAAAGGCTATTGGAATTTGGTGACCTTGGCCTTCTGAGGAGGATTCTCTGGTCTCAACCATAGTCTCTCTTGTTCCTTTCTGATACCCCATCCAACATCAACTTGTTCATTCCTTGAACACACCCTCTTTCTCTCAGTTCTGAACCTGTAAGCATTTAGTTATTTTTACTTGGTTCCTTTACTCCTAGGTCTTAGTCTGGAAAACTGCTTCTCATTCAAGTTTCAGTTGTAAAGTCATTTCCTGAGGAGTCTTTCCCTGATCTGGATTAGATCAGGTTTCCTCTTAGTGTCTGTTTCCATATCGCCTGTATTTCTTTTCTTAAATTTGTTATTGTTTTTTTTTTAAAGATTTATTTATTTTTATACAAGAGCTGGGGTACAGGTCACAAGAACTGGGGTACAGGCCAGATGTGCGGGAGGGTGAGAGGATTCACCAGAGACAGAGTGGGGAACAGAACAGGCAGACTGACCAAAATACACTGCTGAGGGGAGCAGCGGGTGTGACAGGAGAGGTCTGCTGCACCATGTGGGATTCTAGCAGGCTGGCCGGGATGGAACCAGCACTGCAGAGGCTGCGGACAGCTTCACAGTGCTGTGCTCAACCCGCTGCACCACTGGGGAGATCCTTACATTTGTTATTGTTATTGCCTGTTTAGGGTCTGATTTCCACATAATTCCCAAAGAGCCCTGATTCTAGGGACTTACAAGTCAATGTGGCAATTCCTTGCATTCACACTGGGCATACAAAAACACAAAAAAGTTCATGGTGTAGACTGTAATATGAATGATATTCCCACGAGTATGTAAGATGTACAAGCATTAGTGGAGTCAGTCTTTTTCATGAGACCATTATTTCCTCCCTCATAGAGAATATGAAGAACTGGATGAAATACATGGCATAAATTGTGATTTGAATGGCATGTTTTGCTTGTGAAGCTCATTATAACAAACATAAGTCTACTTCCTTATTGCCATCACGTATCTATACATCAAACATGAGGAGTGAGGAATGATACAGGATACAGACTGCAACAGGATTGGCACAACTTGGGTGTATAGTGCACTCCACCATTCATGAAATAAATCCACTTTCATGTGGCCATCAATTACATCCACATTAAGCACTAGAAAACCCAGAAAGATCCCTGATATAGATTAGGAGTCACATAGCTGGAGCTGTGCAATGCATTCAGACACACACTAGTGTTGTGCAATGCACACGACAATGCATAGTATAAACTTCCTTTATCAGGCCATCACATGCCTCCACATGCACATACATAGATTCCAGAAAATTCCAAGATATAGATTATGATAGTAATGGCTCTCTTTAAGTTGTGGACTACTCCTAAGCATTCATGAAATAAGTCTACATGCACAAAATAAGTCTACATCCATCCATTAAGCAAATGAGACATCCAGAAAATTAATAATTTAGAATGAGAGGAGATTGACACTCATTGAGTTATGCAGGGCACCTAACTGGACATGCAATAAGTCTACTGCCATCTGCCTTCAATTACCACCACCACACTGAGGATATAAGTAATCCAGAAAGATACATGGTATAAGCCATGATGTAAATCACACATATTGAATTGTGCAGTGACCCAACAGTACATAGACTATGTCTACTTCATTTGGCCATCACTTACCTCCACACAGAGCATGGAGGAACCCTGTATGAACCATGGCATGGGCTTGTATGTGACTGGCACTCCTACAGTTGCACAGTTCACTCATCTGTGTGTGGACTTTTTTCTGCCTTCATTTCATCACTACTAACCACCACAATAAGAAGTGTCCAGAAAGGTGCACAACTAGTACTATGATGTTAATTGCACTCCAATTGCAAATACTGAAATGTATATGGAATAAATATATTTTCACATGGCGATCACCTACCTCCACACTGAACATATAAGGAGTCCAGAAAGATTTATATCACCAATTAGAATGTGACTTGGTATTCCTTAAGTTTCATTGTGCACCCAAGTTTACACAAAATAAATCTACTTGAATATGGCATTTATACCCATATTAAGCACGCAAGTCCAGATTTATCTTGTAATTGACACCCTTTAAGTTGTGCAGAGCACTCAACTGTTTATACGCTAAGTCTGATTTCATAAGCCATAATCTTTATATTGACAATATGAAAAATCCAGAAAGATCCATGACATAGACTAGAATGTGACTGTCAGTCCTTGAATAGTGCAGTATATTCAACTGTAAGGGAAATTAAGTCTAACTCATGACCATCACTTACCTGCACACTAGTATATGAGGACTCCAGAAAGAACTATGGAATTTACTAGATAGTGAACGGCACCTCTTTAGTTGTATAATGTACCCAAATGCACAAGGATAAATTTACTTTCACTCGGTCATCATTTTACCTTCACTTTGAGCATTTGAGATTAGAAATTCCCATGGCATATACTAGGATATGGTTAGTACTATGTGTGCTTTAGAGTGCACTTAAAGTACATGGCACAATCTAATTTCATGTGGCTAACATGTGGCTTCCATGTTAACCATATGAGAAATCCAGGAAGATTAATGGCATAGACGACAATGTGAAAAGAACTCCCTATGCGGAATGCACCCACCAAATATATGAACTAAAAGTTTTTATTTGATCATCGCTAACTCCACCTTGGCCATTTGAGGAATCTATAAACTTAGATGTGAGTACTGTGATGTAAATGACACTGATTAAACTATACAGTACATCTATCAATACTTACCTCCATCTTGAAGTTATTAGGAGTCCAGAAAGAAACCTGGCATAGATTGTGGTGTGAATGGCATCTTCTGAGTGTGCAGTGCTCACAGGCAAACAAGGTTATCAGTCTTTTTTTATGTGGCCATCTCTTGTAGCTCCACACTGAGTACATGAGGAGTCCAGAAAGATCTGTAGAATAGAGTAGAATATGAATGGTCCTCCTTCCTTTTAGCTATGCAGTACATCCAGCCATATTGGAATAAGACTACATTCACGTGGTCAACACTTACCTTCACACCGAACATATTGGGAATTAAGGAAGGCCTATGGCATAGACTGATGTGATTGGTGCCCTTTGATATTTGGCACTCACAAGCTGCCATTCACATGAGTAATCCTGAATAGTGTAGGGTGTACACCATGAGAGACATAACATTCCTTCAGTTGTTTAGTGTAGCAATATGTACACACACACACATTCTTTTCTTCCCTGACTTTTCAGTTCAGATTCCCTACATTTTATTTTATGTGGGTAAATGGCCCTCAAAATAAATAATTGTGGCTATTAACTAAAATCTAGACCATGTATGTAAAGCATGTGAATCTTCCAGAAATGTCTTTAAAGTGAGGTAGATGCTATTTTGCTCTCCTTTCCTCTCTCCTTGCAAATTTTAAAAAGGTTGGGTTAGTTAAGGCAGTCATCTTGGGACATGAAGCAGAAGTTGTGTTGAGGATAGTGGTGCAACAATGGGCTTGGACCCTTTATGACTGCAGAGTCACTATCCCAGGCCTGGACTACTACTTTTAACTGCTTACTTGAAAGCTATCTTGCTTAAGTCATGTTAGTTTAGGATATGAGTCACACACAGTCATTCCAACTGCTAACTCTGATGATTAATTTTATGTGTCAATTTGGCTAGGCTATGGTGCCCAGCTGTTTGTTCTAGATCTTGCTTTGAAGCTACTTTTTAAAGATGTGCTAAACATATACACAAGTAGTCTTTGAGTAAAGTAGATTACTCTCGTGGTTTGTGTGGGCCTCATCTAATCAGTTGACGACCTAAAGAGAAAAGAGAGGTTCATCCAAGAGAAAGAAATTCTGAGTCTAGAGTGCCTTCGGACTCAAAGCAACAACTTTTTGGTGGAATTTCCAGCCTGCCCAGAAATTTAGGACTTTCTAGTCCTTGCAATCATATGTGGAAATTCCTTAAATTCCTAAATTCCTGAAATTCCTCTTCATTTAAAATTTGCTGAGAGATATAAATGGAGAGAGTCAGCAAGCTGTCTGTCTCCTCCCTCCCTCCCTCCCTTGTTTCTCTGCAAACCTTGACTAGTATGTCAACTAATTCAGTTTAGAATATTATATTTCACAGGACAATGACAAACTAAAGACCACCAAATACTGCGGAAACCAGCAATGAATCAACAGACTTTGGACAACTCACTTTATATTTCCAGATTTAGGTACAGATAGGTAACACAAGTAACAATACTTACTCTACATTTATCGCTGAATTGTCTTGAGAGCAAAAACATTAGATTTATTTGGAAGACAAAGGCATTTATCAAGGTAATTTTGAAAATTGTAGGTACTCAATAAATACGAGGCCATGTTTCTTTAAATCCCAAATAAATTTATCAAGCGTCAGATAAAACAACCAATTAAGCAACTGAAAAGAACAGACTTTGCAGCTTGTAAGGAGAGAACAGCATTTTCAAGTGCTTTAAACAAGATTTGAAATGTATGTTTGTAAAATTACATTCATGACTGGGGTATTGTGTCTGTTATTGGGTAAAGTAGAATGGAGAATTGCTACACTAGGTGCTCATGACCAGATGTCCACCATCAGGATTTTCACTGGGTTTTGGAGGTCTGGTCAAAGTTGCCCTCCTCTACCTGTGAAATTGACTCTTAGCATCAGGAATTCACTTAAGAGTGGAGTATCTCTTTTTCTTGACCCAAATGGTAGCCTGTGTTTTAGGGCTGTTCCTATCATCTCTCTTTGTCATGAAGAAATGTCTTAAAATACAACCCAAAACACCCTTCTCTTTTATGATGCATTCCATATATAATTATCAATATTTGGAGTTTGTTTCATTGTCTCTGTGGCATGCCCAAACACCCATTGTTGTAGTGCTTTAATGACCTGTTTGTCTTGACTCCAATCCTCCCTAGCATACCTGCCATTTCTGACTGTACCCAGTGCTTGTATAAATAAATAAATAAATAAATAAATAAATAAATCTTTAAAAAAATCATATTTTGGGACAAAATAGGTAATATAGACACATAATGCAAAAGGGTAAATGGTTCTTAGGCACATAATTCCTTTCTCTGGAGGTTACCAAAATTACCATTTTCTTTTCTTATTTTTTCTATTTTTAAAAAATTTTATTTTTATATTCCCCATACAATTGCAACCCCCTTATTTTGACCACGATCCTTCCTTTCCCCACGATCCCTCCTTTCCCTGCCCCCCCCCACATAGTATGTCTCTGGTTCATAGTTGTTTGTTGATTTTGATTTTTTATTTCTTATAGTTATTCCTTTTCCTGGTCCCTTATTTAGTTATTCCTTTTCCTGGTCCCTTATTTAGGTTTTCTAGATTCCTGCTATGAATGAGACCATCCGGTATTTTTCTTTTTCTTTCTGGCTTATTTCGCGGAGCATGATCCCTTCCAGCTCCATCCGTGTTGCTGCAAATTGCATGTGTCTATCTTTTTGGATTGGATTATATGGAAGCTCTATCTTTAGTAGGTCCAGAAATCTCCACACAGCTCTCCACAGTGGTTGGACCAGTTTGCACTCCCACCAACAGTGCAGGAGAGTTCCTTTTTCTCCACACCCTCGCCAGCATTTGTTGTTGCTAGTTTTTTTAATATGTGCCATTCTCACTGGTGTAAGATGGTATCTCATGGTAGTTTTGATTTGCATTTCCCTGATTACAAGTGATGTTGAACAGTTTTTCATATGCCTGTTGGCCATTTGCATTTCCTCTTTGGAGAAGTTAATTTTTAGCTCTTCTGCCATTTTTGGACTGGATTATTTTCATATGAATTCTTTCAGAGACGTTCTAGCAGTTCCATTACAGATAAAGAGAGAGGAGCGGAGAGGGAGGGAGAAGGGAAGAAAAGGAGAGGGAGGAGAGAGGCATACACATTGTGCAACTTTTTTTTCACTTAAAATATATCTTGAAGATATATCAGTACACACAGAGCCTCTTCATTCTTTTATTTTATTTTTTATTTTTTTATTATTTTTTTAAAGATTTATTTATTTATTTATACAAGCATTGGGTACAGTCAGAAGCACGAGAGGGTGAAAGAATTCACCAGAGCCAGAGCGGGGAACAGAACAGGTAGACCAACGAAATACACTGCTGAGGGGAGCAGCTAACGCGGCAGGAGAGGTCTGTGCGCCATGTGGGACCCTTGCCGGCAGCCGGGGATCGAACCGGCACTGCAGAGGCTGTGGGCAGCTTCACAGCCCAGTGCTCAACTGCTGCACCACCAGGGGAGGCCCTGTGGTACCATGTTTTAAATATGCTAAAGTATTAATGACAGCCTGACTTGAAATTACTCATAACTCAACCTTCGCTGTCTCTAGCTGGGAAGTAAAACACAGACAGTTGCTTAATGGTAGAAGCTATCTCCAGCCTCTGGAACAGAGGGTATAGTCAAAAGATACTTATGATGTGAATGACTCCATGACTGAAGAGATAAAGAAGGAATGATGTGGAAGACAAGACTGGATGTGGGAGGTAAATGGCAATGCCTCAGGTGAGGGCATATAAAAATGATAAGTGTTATGCTAGTTATTTTAGAAGACTAAGAGGGTGGTCTGCTGGAAACCTTGACTTCTTGGTCAAGGTATTTTGATCATTCAATAGGAGGAGGCACAGTTCCTGAGACTGGAACAGGTGTCCAGTCTGAGCAGTGGGTCAAAGGTATCTGTAAACTACCTGCATTTGGGAAGGAAGTACTTGGTGATTCTGAACGGACAATATCTGAGGAGAGGATCTCTCATGTCTTGGGTCAGTTGCAGTGTTGTAGCTGTCTGGATAGACAAAGAACTGTGCCTTGCTGGTGTGTGTGTATAATAAAAAAAATGAGAGACATGTATGAAAATGTGCATGGTGCATTTCTATAAGGAGGCTCTTTCCCTTGTTTTTTTCCCCATTCCTTACATTTCTATAATTTTTGTCTTCCATATATGGTAATTTTCTAATCTTTTATTTATTTTTTTAAAAGATTTATTTATTTATGCATACAAGAACTGGGGTACAGGCCAGAGTTGTGGGGGGGTGAGAGGATTCACCAGAGACAGAGTGGGGAGCAGAACAGGCAGATCTACTGGAATACACTGCTGAGGGGAGCAGCGAGGCGAGTCAGGAAAGGTCTGCTGCACCATGTGGGTAGCTCCCTGGCCAGGGATCAAACTCGTGCTGCAGTGGCTGCGGACAGCTTCAAAGGTTGTGTCTTAACCCCTTATGCCACCAGGGAGGTCCAATTTTCTAATATTTTAAAAAAGACTTTGTTTTTACTTCTGTAAAGAAGACATACAGATAGCCAACAGGCATAGGGAAAAATAGTCATCATCTTGTATCATCAGGGAAATATAAATTAAAGACACAATGAGATACCATCACATCCTGAGAACTGCCCATATCAAAAAGACCAGTAACAACAACTGTTGGAGATGGGGTGGAGATAAAGGTACCCTTTTACACTGAGTGGTAATTTGGATGGGTCCAGCAACTCTGGGAAATAGCATGGAGGTTTCTTAAAGTATTAAAAATCTGCCTTATGACCTGCTAGGCATCTACATGAAGAGAGCAAAAACACTAATTTGAAGCAACATATGTACTCCTACGTTCATTGTAGCACTATTGACAATAACCAAGTTTTGGAAACAACCTAAATGGCCTAAGAGAGGTGAGTGGAAGAGTATAGTATATATTCATGGGGGAATACTATGCAGCTATAAAAAGAAGACAAACCCTTACTATTTGCAACATGGATGGACCTGGAGGGCATTATGTTAAGGGAGATATGTCAAAGGAGAATCAGATGATTTCACTCGAGTGTGGAATATGGAGAAACAAAATTAAGAAACTGACAAAACTAAACCAAAATAAACCTAGGAATTGGACTGCAGAACTGAAGCAATCCGAGGGGGAAGGTAGGAG